CATCGAAGAGTGATACTGTTGCAAGTAAGTTAGCAGATCAGAATCATTCGTAGTGCTACAGTCCTTTCCTATCATCTATAAGTCACTAAACAATGACATTGTAACTTTTGTCATTCAGCAACCCTTCAATGTAGCTCAGAAGAAGTTCAACCCTGCTAGGGATCCGTGTTCTGTATTGTGGGATGTACTTTGGGATGACCTGGTGATAATGGAAAAGTCGTACGGGAAAAAGGACCATCCAAAATCTCCACCTTCACGGGTCATTCTTTATTTACAAGATAAATCAGAGATGAAGGAACAGGTTCGTATCATAAAGTGCCTCCGTGATACCCCCCAAGCACTTGACGTGTACTCATCAATTGAACGAGCAATGAACACTTATGGACCAAACAAACCAAAGGTTAGATTTTAATGCCATATCAATGAGCTTTGTTGTGTCAGGTTGTTGCATTGACTTTTAACTTGTCCAAGGTTGGTTGACCATGGAATGCCAAACTTGTACATACAAACTAAAGAAAATCCAAAATACGCAAACTGAAGAAAAATCGAAAGTATTTTACACCGTTGCATTGGTGTTGCTGATAGATACAGATATCTTTCTGCGGGATTCTTGTTTGTGATATTCTTCTCAACTTTTGTGACATTCTTCCTGGACGGTTGACGTTTTACATGAACTTTCTTGTTTTTGCAATGCTATTCAGCAAATGCTGAAAAAGAGTATGACATTGCCATATGCACCATTTGTCGATAACGCCAGTGCTGAAGCTACATCAAAAGAACCAGGGTCACCCCGACAGGTGCCGGCATCTATTCCTCGTAGTTCAACTTTTGGCAGCCGCTTCAACTGATCCCGAGATCGTTGATGGTGAGGAAATATGGTGTTTGGGAATTCTGCTGTGGTCCGGTCACAATCCTGCATGCTCGGATGTTCGTACCGTCTGACAGGTATTCTTGTTGTGATCATTGAACGAAAAATTATCATATTGGTGTCTTCATGGGTGCTTAGGTTTACAACAACGGTGAGGTTGTTCCATACAGGTGTTTTGTAAGAAGCGGTGTAAAGGACCAGTGACAAGGACGACGTAAGAAATGCCGACATGGATTTTCGTGGTCGAATTCCGACATGGATATGAATGGTGTTAACCTCAAACACAATCGATACGATTCTTAGTACAAGGCTTATATATAGCGCATACATTTGCCATTAGTTACCAGGTCACCTATATGTATAGGTTTCAGACATTCTATGTATGTATCTTACAATAGTCGATGTATACGCACCGATTACCGAAGGTGATCGTGCCGATCATTTTGAAAGCCAATTGTATATCCGGTGCCATATGAACACGATGTATGATAAGGTTTAGGAAGTAAAATCCTAGTGATTGCGTTGCACCGTGTGTTTATGTTATGGTGTAGCGCCTTCGGAGTTGGGACAATTAAAAGAACCTCACCTATTCAAGTATAAGAGCTGTAATTTTTTGTTGTATATCATCTCTTTGCTTCATGCTCGTTCGATTCCGCTAGGGAATCCAACTATTACGTAATATACCAGAAACAAGGAAAAGTTTAGGGCCTATTTGTTATCCTATTTGAAATTTTTTATCATTTCTCAAAACATTTCTTGAAAACAATTTTCTTTAGAACTTAAACACTTGATTGGTTTGCAATTTAAAATTTTTAAATCTTATGACTTAAATTAGACAAAAAGATATAAAAAGAGGGGGTCGCATGAGAGGGAGAAAAAGGAGAGGAGGAAAGAAAATAAGAGATGATTGAAGCAAAGAAAAAGAAGAGAGGATCGGACGAGATAGAGAGGAAGATAAGGGAGATAAAAAAACTGAGAAAATGAAGAGAGCGGATTGGAGAAGAGATGGAAAATGTAAGAAAAAGAGGAGAGATATAAAGAAGAAAAGATAGATTTTGAGTGAGAGAGGGGAGGAGGGAGAAAAAAGAAATGAATGAGTTTTTGAGTGAGAGGGGAGGAGGATGATGAGAAAATAAATGAACGAGTTTAAGTTTAAAAACTCTAAAAACTCATTTTTTTTGTTTCTAGAGAATAAAATATATTTTTTAGTTAGTCTTAAGTTTAGTTTTTGAAAATAGTCATACTAAACAAGTTTTTAAGGTCCAAAACTTGAAAATTGTTTTTTAATCTAAAAAATTGAATTCAAGTACAGTACCATACAAACCCTTAAATTATTAATTATTTTGCTAGGATTTGATCCCAAAAGCACCTAAGAGCATTTCCACCAGTGTATATTATCGCTTTGTGTTAAAAAATATGATAGAGATAAAGAGTTAGTCAAGAAAGATCGGGAGTGAGTAGAGAAAAAATGTAGTAAACTCAAAACTTGCTCTCTCCTCTACTCTCACTCTCGATCTTTCTCTGCTAGCTCTCTATCTCTATCCTATTTTTCTCTCTTGCCTAATCTGATTATTTCTCTGATTTCTTCCTCTCTCCTCCTCTTCTCCGAATCTTTGTCTCCTACTTCTCTCTCCTCTCTCTGCTCTTCCTTTGTCATCCCTTTCCAACCCTCTCTTTGGATCTCTCTATTGTCCAATTGAATTTAGTTGTAATTTCCAAATCAAAAGCCAAAAGGGAGTTGTAGGGGTTTTTTTAATTGTAAATTTAGAAACAATTTTAAAATTTCATACCAAACGAGTTTTTGAGTCTTAAAAAATTGTTCTTAAAAGACATTCTTAAGAAATATTTTTAAAAATTATGAAATTGTTTAATACGACAGACCCTAAATAACTACTGGATAACATGATAACTGATACTTGATTAGGGATGACAATAGATTGAAGCAAGAACAGATATGTCATTCTCATCCCCATCGTTGATAAAGTGTTCCCCTATCCCCTATCCCCATTCCCCACCTTCATAGTCGCCATTGGGTAACAGTTTTCCCCCTCCCCGTTGCAAAATAAAAATAAATCGGTCACGTAACAAATTGAATGGTTAATAGTCGATTGGTCACAATATATTTTGTAAACGCGGCGGATTCGATATATATGGGATTATAATATCCTCATTGACTTGAACAACAAATCCGAACCTTAAACCCGTTCTCGTACCGATTTATATCTTTAATGCTCTATCCATCTCTTCCGGCCTTGGAAAAGTTGGAGAATTTCAGACTAATTTCACATCATATGTAGCCACAATCAAGTAGACTCACTAATTCGGAGTATCAAACCGAAACCTTCCACATTTTCTTTGTCTTTTTGACGAATCGCAGTCCGCCCCCTTACCAACGTGCCACTTGATGTGGTTATTAGTTCATTAAATGTTTTTTTATATGTGAAATTTTTAAAAAAAAAAATATTAGTACAGAAATTGAGAGTGATTCGAAATTATTACAATAATATATATGTAAAAAAACTCACACTCTATTCATTAAGATATTGAACCATACCTAAAAAAAAATATAAAATATAATTCAATTATCTAATAAATATTTATTATGTGACATTACTAATTACATAATAGTATTTTTCACTCCCGAACCAGAGGAATGTCATCCCTGGATTTGATACGAAAAGAAAAATCACTATATCGATGGACGGGTTGACAAGAGATGATTTGATGTGTGCAGAAAAATTACAGCAGGAAAAGAAGGACCACTTTCCATACACTCCTATTTTCTCATATTTGTACAGTCACAGTTAAGTTACGTTAACATTTTATATTACTATTACTTTTTGTCTTATTATCTCTATAAAAAAAATTAATATAAAATATTGACGTGACTTAATCGTAACCGTACAAAATAGAAAGGGATGAGAATGTATAAGAAGTGGGAGGGCAGAAAAGCCGGGTCTGAAAAAGAAAGAGTTTGGATTCTCTCATCTCATTTTTCCATCCCTTTTTATCTCTTTGCTTCATGCTCATTTGATTCCGCTAGGGAATCCAACTATTACTTAATATACCAGAAACAAAGAAAAGTTTAGGGTCTGTTTGTTATCCTATTTGAAATTTTTTATCATTTCTCAAAAATAATTTTCTTTAGGACTCAAAAACTTGATTGGTTTGTGAATTAAAATTTTTAAATCTTACGACTTAAATTAGACAAAAAGATCTAAAAAGAGGGGGTCGCATGAGAGGGAGAAAAAGGAGATGAGGAAAGAAAATAAGAGATGATTGAAGCAAAGAAAAAGAAGAGAGGATCGGACGAGATAGAGAAGAAGATAAGTGAGATAAAAAACTAAGAAAATGAAGAGAGCAGATTGGAGAAGAGATGAAAAAGGTAAGAAAAAGAGGAGAGATAGAGAAGAAAAGATAGATTTTGAGTGAGATGGGAGGAGGGAGAAAAAAGAAATGAATGAGTTTTTTTGAGTGAGAGGGGAGGAGGAAGAGAAAAGAAATGAATGAGTTTAAGTTTAAAAACTCTAAAAACTCACTTTTTTTGTTTTTAGATAATAAAATATATTTTTTAGTTAGTCTTAAGTTTAGTTTTTTAAAATAGTCATACCAAATAAGTTTTTAAGGTCCAAAACTTGAAAATTGTTTTTTAGTCTAAAAAATTGAATTCAAGTACAGTACCATTCAAACCCTTAAATTATCAATTATTTCGCTAGGATTTGAGCCCAAAAGCACCTAAGAGCATTTCCACCAATGCTCTTTTGCCTTGACAAGATTGATTTTGTGTATATTATCGCTTTGTGTTAAAAAATATGATAGAGATAAAGAGTTAGCCAAGAAAGATCGGGAGTGTGAGTAGAGAAAAAAGTAGTAAACTCAAAACTTGCTCTCTCCTCTACTCTCACTCTCGATCTTTCTCTGCTAGCTCTCTATCTCTATCCTATTTTTCTCTCTTGCCTGATCTGATTATTTCTCTCCTTTCTTCCTCTCTTCTCCTCTCCTCCGAATCTTTGTCTCCTACTTCTCTCTCCTCTCTCTGCTCTTCCTTTGTCATCCCTTTCCAACCCTCTCTTTGGATCTCTCTATTGTCCAATTGAATTTAGTTGTAATTTTCCAAATCAAAAGCCAAAAGGGAGTTGTAGGGGTTTTTTTTTAATTGTAAATTTAGAAACAATTTTAAATCTTTATACCAAACGAGTTTTTGAGTCTTAAAAAAATTGTTCTTAAAAGACATTCTTAAGAAATATTTTTAAAAATTATGAAATTGTTTAATACGACAGACCCTACTTTATATACGTATACATTATTTGGGAATATCTGCAAAGAATCTGCTCTGTAATTTACAAATTTTATCCCCAGACTAGTAAAGCTCCACAACTTATTCTACTTCTTTCCTTCTACTTTAAGCTGCTGGATCCTCTGGCGTAGTCTTTTCCGATGATCGTGTATCTTCCAAAGGCCATGACCCAATATCACAGCAGAGTATATGCCGTGCGTGATCATAGGCGTAAGCATATTGTTCGTCTGCCAAATTTTCACAAAAACGTAAAGAAATTCGATTATTGAGTTTCATCCACTTGAGTGTATGGTATTGGTAGGTAGATGGTGAACAACAAATTCGTAACCAAGAAACCCAATTACCTGGATCCACTCAAAACCAAGATATAGGGCAAGAAGTCCTTCAAGCAGGGGAGAGTAAATCTTCTTCATTTGTCTCCTCTGATACCAAGCTGCAGAACGTTCACCAGAAACAAACGGTGATTCAGATGTTCATTTATGGTTCCAAGATTTAGAAACGTATCATTTTCTTTTCTTCATGGCAACCAAAGCAAATATAACTATCTTGAAACAGAGTTTTCAAGAAATTGTAACCATTTCGGTATATATTACGTTGAAATTCAAGCATGAATTTGCTGTATAAAATTTTATGGTTAGTTGCAACTACTAGTCATCTGTTGAAAGTGCTAGCCATCTAATTTGGTACTACAAACATAAACTTATCGTGTGAAACTTGACTATCAGAGGACTTGGATTAAGGTTAACGACTATGATAACTTACAACCCGTCAGTGGAAACAAATACTAGGTTGCTAGGATGTTATACTTGTCATGACAAAACCGAATAATTTTCCAAGCCTAGCAAAAATACTGGTTTAGCTGGAAGCTCTCAAGTCTTAACCCTTGTCGCCTAAAAGTAATGACTGGTTACCATTTGTTTAGCCCATACTTATAACTACAGCACGGATGCACTGAAAAACCCATGCTGAGGTTAGAGGTTAAACCTGCAAAAAGCTTTTTCATGTCTTCACGACCAGAGCGAGATTGTAAAACTGGTGCAACTACATAAGCAGGATCTGCAAGAACGATTAACAACTGATGATTATATTTGCACCAAAGTCAAAATTCACACGAGTTACATTAAAATGGACTTTGAGAGAATCAACCTTTTGGAGAAGCTGCCACATAGTACAGAGAACCTGTGAGCGCAGCCGTAATCACCGCTGCAAATGCCTGAGCAAAAGGGACAAATGGGGGCAGAACTCCAGTCTACATATAAAGCGAGTAAAAGTCATCAGAACAAGTTCTTTTCTATACTGGTAACAGGAAAGAAATGTCAGAAAAAA